AAAATCAGGGACCTCAGCCCCAGAGCAAACAGAATGACTCAACTATGTCTTAGAATTTGGTAGAGTTTGTTATATCCTTACTTTCAAAATACTCTGCACTACACAAGAAACTATGTTTAAATAAATCATTAGAAAAACTAAAAATCATCAGGGAACATCCAGGATTTGCTTACTTTCAGCTAGCATTCTCATGGGTGCTGTGCTTCTTACACAGTCTCCTCACTTTCTTCATAGAGAGCCAAATGCCTAGCCTCTCAAACATAGCAGCTCCTTGCCGTGAGTAGATTTGCTCCTGGTGTTAATATCTGCAATCCTGTGTTGCCCAAAGCAGTCAGAGATAGAAAATCATTCCTAAGTAATTAACATGTTTTATTCAATTCACAAAATGAAAACTTTTTTTTTCCAACCCCTCTCTTTTTGCCCATAGTGATTAGCAGAAGACCCTTGAGTTTTGGAAGCCCATGCCTTGCCTTCAAGGCAATAAATTAGGAGCAGTGAGGACTCTGGAAGCTGGCTTGGTGACAGCAGCATCAGAAGGTAGAGAGGAGCAAGGAGGAAGCAGAATATGAACAGAATACAAGCAAAAGAGAGCTGAGCAGCCAGACTGTGTCTGAAGAAATGGCCTCACAGGGTTGAAGGACTCTGGCAGGTTCTGCAACTCATTCTATTTAAGTCAGAGGGACCAGAGATTGATTCATCCCAGGTGAATTTTGGGAAGTCAACAAATTGTTCTGAGCTCAGCTTTCACATTTGTGAACTGCTGATGAGTGAATGATGCTTAATTTGCAAACCATTAGAATGTCTAGAACTCGCTCTGTGCTTGGCACCTAATCAGCTTTCATCCCCATTACTTTTCTCTTGCCCCTTCAATGGGCCTTGTAAGTCTTCCATCACGGGTGTCCCTGGGGTTGGGGAAATTGCCTGGGCTGTGGTTGACTGTTAGAATTTTATGTTTCATTCTTTTATGCCCCTAAAGATGACTTTGCACTTTAGGTTTATAGGCCTTTCTGCTGGAGAACTTGGAATGAGTTGCCTAACCACCTAATAATCATATTATGAGGACTCAATGAGACAAATTACCCAAAAGTTCCCTATAAACATTTGTAGTATGTGTTTCTTTGTTTATTGTTTGCACTTTTGAACATTTCAGAGACTTGGAGGTGGAAATGAAACTTGGGACTTGGATTTGTTTGATTTTTTTTTTAAGTTTTTTAAGGCAGCTTGGAGGCATATCAGACTATTTATTAGACTTTAGCTTAGAGGCAAAAGATATCAAGTGAATAGGAACCACTGATCTCTGATGTAAAATGGAACCTGTAAGTCCCTGCTCTTGGCTGCTAATATGCCACAGCTTGGATATTTTATTATTTGTAATGCAGTGTTAGTTGGCACCTGATTTTTAAATCCACATTATCAGTCATGGAGCCCCGCACTTTTCATTTATAGGAAAATCAGAGTTATCTAGGTCAGGTAAATAAATAAAGGTTCAGTGGAGTCATGAATTTCAACTTCTGGCATCATTGTTGGTTTAATTTTTTTGTAACTAAACACAAACCTTGTCAGCATTTTAGGGGGAAGAGTCATCTACAATTATTTGAGAATAATTGTGGATATATAAATGGAGTTAATGCATCAGAATTGAGCATAATGTGGCCACACCCCTCTTGGAAATGCTGGATATGTAAGCTACATGGAGCTTTTCCAGCTTTTACCTGAGGAAAAAGAGCCAGGTCTGGGACATTCAGAGAAACAACTCAGAGTCACCTTTCACATGCAAGAGAGTTCTTTGAAAACTCCTGTTTTACCTCAAAATGCACACATATTTTACATTCAACTTTAACTCTCTTCATGTTTGTTTTTAAATTAGTTTTACCCCAAATTTTGAGTACAGTGGATGCTAGCACCACGGCAGGCACGCTTGCCCCCGGGGACACCTGCCTACTTCTGGAAATGAGAGCGACCTGTCTGAGAAACCTCTGTGTTCTCGGAGACTGGAAGACGGAGGATATAGGTCAACACGCTTATCTGACAACGTGTTTGAGGCATGTGTGTTTCCACCAAACAGACTCATCTTCATGAGGTGGTACCATGAAAGGAAAAGTAGAATTTAAAGAACGTGGCAGAGTTAAGGCGGAGGGGGCCTAGTCATCACAGCTATGCATCTTCATAATGCTGAAGCAGAGTTCCCCTGCCAGGGTAAAAAGGCCCACTCGCCGCTCTATTTTTTGCTGAATTGCGTTTTGGGAGTATGCAACAGTGGTGTGGATTCATACTTATAGCCTTTAAAAGAACAGACATGAGAAAATGAGAATGGGAGTAGGAGGGGTACATCAGAATTAAACCCCAGAGCCCTTCACTCAACTCCAAGAGCCTTCTCAGTAGCCATTGGGACCTTCCACACACCGCCAACAGATTCGGCTTTGAATATGTTAAACCATTTGCCAAGGAGGCTTTGTTGTGGAAACATTTGTCTGTGAAACAAATAGTGACACTTCATCTGAGAGGGGGCATCAGGACCCAGCACCCAGTGGTTAGAGTAACAGCAAAGCATCACACACAAGGAAGAGCAAAGGGAACCAAGAGAAGCTGCCGACCCGAGAAGATGAGCAATTTGTTCATGTACCCCCTTCACCTCAGGTGGTTCCAGAGCGAACTATTTGGCTGAGTCTTCACACCGTTTTCACAGGCAATAAATGGAGTATTTATTATTAAATAAATGGTAGAGCATCGGTACGTGCAACAGATTTTTTAACCTCAAACATGGCCCTGGAACTTGCCTCAGACAAGAAGTCAGGATGCAGAACCTTCCTCAGACACGCAAATATTTTTACTTCCTGGAAAATGTTTATCACAGTTACTGTTGCCTCCATGTTCATCTCATCAATCTGATGCCGAGATGACTTTGTAAATAATGTTAGCAAAAAACTACAGGTTAAGTAGACTTCTATGGAGTTTTAAATGTGTGTCTCCCCTTTGAGCTTAGTAGCTTCTGAAAAATATACATTTCTCTCTTTGTCTACAGACCTGTTTTTTGATGCCATAAAGATGGAGAAACTTTTTGTAAATACCCTGAATAGCCAACAGAGGAATATTTAAATAGGAAGAAGCAAAATATTATACTTTAAACTGGAAGGAACAAATACACTATCCTTTGTTGTGATTGCATGTTTAAACTTGTGTTAGCCTACTATGAAATGTGTAGTTTAATCCTATACTTTTTAAAAATTGGAAGGCATGCACTTTAGACTTATAATTCTACATGTCTATATTAAAAGTATAGTTTTTGTTGTGTCTTCAAGGAACTTATATTCTGAGGAGATAAGCTAGATGTTGGCATCTTTACACTAGAATTAGGAAGATGATTGTCATTGTCCTACTTTGGCAGGTACAGCAGCATAAGTGGTTGTGGCCAGCCTATCGAGAGCTCCTATGGCCTTCATCTGGACATAGGTTTGACAAAGAAGAAAAATATACATTAAGGAATTTTGATTTATTGGCCACTTCAAGAGTTAGGAGAGTGGTCCAGCCTGAGGATGCAGTTTCTGAGCTGTTTGTTGACCCCTGTTGCTGTGTGTCAGCCAGGCAATGTGAAGAACAGAGTAGGAAGAATCAGGCTTTCCAAATTGAAGGAAGATAATGCCTTGGGACCAGCCCATATTCCCAACCCACAAATCCCAGGCCATGTCTTCCTCTGATTCTTTATTATCAAATGAGGCTCTTAGAGAACAGACCTGTCTCTTATCTCACTTGATGCCATGATCCATTCCATATGCCACTGACATTGATTCTCTCTGCTGAGCAGCCCAGCAGTCCTGAAATGCACCTTGCACTTGGGTCTGAAAGCCGGCATACTAAAGAGATTTGCACATTAGCTGAAGCCAAGCACAAAGGCACACCAGGGGCACCAGCTTCAGTGTGAGGAAGTATTCTAAAAATCCCTTCGTACTGTCCTGGGCCTAAGCTGTGAGCCCCAGTGATGCCCAGTCATTACACTCATGTCTTATAAAGGCAGCTTGATGGTAACATCCAGACACACCCTTATAGCATCAAAGATACTGAAAGAAAGAGAAGCAGCCCACACAAACTATAGCAAAGAGACTCTGAGCCTAGAAGTCATCAAGTTTTCTACCTTTACCTTCTTCAGTACTGATTACCTTCTAAAAAGTGGACACTGTATGAATTTGCTTAACACTCTGATTTTAAAAATTATTTCCTGCAAATGCAATGTATTAAATAGTAAATCTGCCTTTGAATAAATATTCAGAATCATTTCTGAGTAGAACTTTCCTAGAAGAAAATGGAAGCAAGGACTTTAGATGTTCTGATTAATACATTAATAGATATATATTAAGCAGTGCTGGAAAAGAAAACATTTTAGCAACCTGACTTGCAAATACCTACTAGACTACAGATGACCCATGTAACAATTATGTTCTGAAATTTCCCAGGAGGGCAATTAAATAAGAGAGACCTCAGAGTAGTTTCTTAATGCTATGCTCAGGCTCTTCCCTAATACATAGAATTTCCCGGAAATCCCTAGATAATAATACAGATCAGAAGAAATGGAGGTAGAGCAGTTTAACAGTGTACTTTGCTAAATGGAAACACATTATAATTACAACAGTAAACATCTATTGACCTATTATTCTATTGCCTTAGGGTCTGCTTTAATAAATAGTTTTTGCTAATTTGAATGTGAAAAGACGTCGTTTACATAAGTAGTTACAAAGAGCCTCTAATATTACAGTAATTGTGTTTGTTGATTTCCATTACTCTGAAAAATACCCCTCATCCCCACTAGCAGATCCTCTATTACTAGGAAAGACATTAGATTGCTAGAAGCTTGTTTTAATCAATGGTAGCCTAATAAAATCACAACACTGCTGTCTTTGTAGACTGTAGTTGGAGAAATAACTGTGATTAAGCATGTTTGTTTTGCAGTGTGAGTTATCTATTTCAATGCTTGTTTTGCTTGTCTCCCATTTTCCTTCTTCTTACAGATTTTTAAAAGCATTGGCTCTGATGAGACTGTCCAAGGGCAAGGAAGTCGGAGGCTGATCAGCTTTTCTCTCTCAGGTATGTTTTGCTCACCTGAAGGCCTATGGAGACAGTAAGAAGGTCAACCAGCAGTCAGGAGACCTACTTCAATTTGACTCTTACCTACAAGTTACTCTACCTCTAAATGCCTCAGTTTCCCCATCTGCTAATTTAATTCCCCATCTAATTTAAAACAAAAATTAAAAATATCTGCTCCATTTTCCTTGACCTCATAAGGATACTGGAGGAATCAATAAGTAATAGATGCTAAAGCACTTTGAGATGATGAGAAGAAAAGCTGCAATTTCACTTTGCTTCCATCGTCACTAACATTATCTGAAAGTTTATAAAGTGGAGGTAGGGGAAAGCCCAGGGAGAGAAGCAGCCAGCAGACTTTGTCTAAACAAAATCTCACATGAAGCTCAATTGGTAAAACAGATAAAAACCAAGCTGCTCAAAAAAGTACATTTGTGGAAAAGTCAGTGAAAATCCAAATAAGGTATGTAACTTAATTAATAGTATTTAGTTGAGTAATCTAATTTTTTAGTTTTCATAATGTATCATAATTCTGTAATATATTAACATTGGGGCAAACGGGGTAAAAGATATGTTGAAAATCTTTGTACTATCTCTGCAACTCTTCTGTAAAATTAGAATAATTTCAAAATAAAAGTATAAAGAAAAACTGAGTTACCCTGCCTAAAATGATATACAAAGCTCAGAGCCCTACACACTAAATTCCATCCTAAGTGGTCTTTGAGGAGACACAATAGCATGAAGCTCTAGGACTCTATTGAACACAGTTGGAAAACTGTTGCCTTAGCTTGTTATCAACCAACAGATGTTGCAGACCATGAATGTCAGAGATCTAAGACCACAGAAATTAAGTACATGAGTGTCCTTGCATTTTTCATGTCTAAGTGAGCCCCAGTAAAGAAAATGTGTGCCTAAAGAGCCACTGGTAAGCAATTAGAGCAAGATTGCAGGATACAAGGTTAATAAACAAAAAGTCAATTGCTTTCCTATATACCAGCAATGAACAAATGGAATTTGAAATTAAACACACAATGCCTTTTTATATTAGCACCCCCAAAAATGAAATGCTTAAATATAAATCTAACAAAATATGTACAAGGTCTATATGAGGAAAACTACAAAACTCTGATGAATGAAATTAGAAAAGAACTAAATAGAGAGATATGCCACATTGATAGGTTAAAAGACTCACTATTGTCAAAATTTCAATTTTTCTATAGAATGCAATCCCAATTAAAACCCCAGTAAGTCATTTTGTGGATATTGATTAAATGACTCTAAAATTTATAGAGAGAGGCAAAAGAGCCAGGATAGCCAACACAGTGTTGAAAGAGCAGATCAAAGTTGGAGAACTGACTTACTTAACTTCAAGACTTACCACAGCCATGGTAATCAAGATAAGTGTCATATTGGTGAAAGAATAGACAAATAGGTCAGTAGAACAGAATAGAGTACTCAGAAAGAAACCCACATAAATTTAGTCAAGTGGTCATTGACAAAGGAGCAGTGGCAATACAATGGAACAAAAACAGTCTTTTCAACAGATGGTGCTAGAACTACTGGACATCTACATGCAAAAAAAAGAAGAAGAAGAAGAAGAAGAATCTATATCCAGAACTTACACACTTCACAAAAATTAACCCACTAAAAAGGTATTAGAACTAATAAATTCAATCAAATTGCAGGATACAAAATCAAAATACAAAAATCTGCTATTTCTTCACTAATAATGAACTCTCAGAAAGAGAAATTAAGAAAACAATCCCATTTATAATTGCATCAGAAAGATTAAAATACCTAGGAATAAATGTAACTAAGGAAAGACAGACCAGTACACCAAAGACAAGAAAACATTGATGAAAGAAATTGAAGAAGACACAAATAAATGGGAAGATAGTCTATGCTCATGGATGAGAATTAATATGGTCAAAATGTCCGTACTACCCAAAGCAATCTACACATTCAGTGCAATCTCTATCAATATTCCAATGGCATTTTTTCACAGAAATAGAACAAAGAATTCTAAAATTTGTATGGAACCACAAAAGACCCCAAAAAACCAAAGCAATATGAAGAAAGAAGAACAAAGTTGGAGGAATCATTCCTGATTTCAAACTATATTACCAGAGCAATCAAAACAGTATGATATTAACATAAAAACAAGACACGTAGACCAAAGGAACAGAAAAGAGAGTCCAGAATAAACATACTCTTTTATGGCCATTTAATTTACAGCAAGGAGTCAGAATATACCTTGGGAAAAAGACAGTCTATTCAATAAATGATGCTGGGAAAATAGGACAGCCACATGCAAAAGAATAAAACTAGATCACTGTTTACACCATACACAAAAAATAACTCAAAATGTATTAAAGACTTGAACATAAGACCAGAAATCACAAAACTTTTAGAAGAAAACATAGACAATAAGCTCGACATCAGTCTTGGTGGTGATTTTTTCAGATTTGACACCAAAAGCAAAGGCAACAAAAGCAAAAATAAATAAATGGAACTATATCAAACTAAAAAGCAGGAAACTATCAACAAAATGAAAAGGAGTAATAGAAAATAATTGCAAATTGTATCTCTGAAAAGGGGTTAATATCCAAAATATATAAAGAACTCATGCAATTCAGCAGAAAAAAAAAGTCTGCCTTAAGAATGTGCAGAAGATCCAAATAGACATCTCATCAAAGAAGACATACAGATCGCCAACAAGTACACAAAGAGATGTTCGACATCACTCATCGTAAGTGAAATGCAAATCAAAACCACAATGAGATATCCTTTCACACCTGTTAGAATGGCTAGTACCAAAAAGACAAGAGAAAACAAATGTTAGCGAGGAGGTAGAGAGGTGCACTGTTAGTGGGGACATAAATTAGTGCAACCACTATGGAAAACAGTATGGAGGTTCTTCAAAAAATTAAAAATAAAACTACCATAGGATTCAGCAATTCTACTCTGCGTGTTTATCCAAAGAAATGAAAACACGAACTCCAAAAGATATATGCACCCTCATGTTCACTAAAGCATTATTTACAATAGCCACAACACAGAAGCAACCTAAGTGTCCACAGATGGATGAATGGATAAAGAAAATGTGGTGTGTGTGTATATATATATATATATATATATATACACAATACAGTGATATTCAGCTATAAAAAAGAATGAAATCTTGCTATTTGTGACAACATGGATGGACCTTGAGGGCATTATGCTAAACGAAATGTCAGACAGGGAAACACAAAGACCATATGACCTCACTTATACGTGGAATCTGAAAAAAAAAATCAAGCTCATGGATACAGAGAATAGATTGGTGGGGGCTGGGCAAAATGGGTGAAGGTGGTCAAAAGATACAAACTTCCTGTTATAAAACAAATAAGTCATGTGGATGTAATGTACAGCATGGTGACTAAAGTTAATAAATACTGTATTGGGTATTTGAAAATTGGTAAGAGAGTAGATCTTAAAAGTTTTTATCAGAATAAAAAAGTTATAACAATGTGTGGTGATGGCTGTTAAATAGACTTATTCGGTAACTGTTCTGCATTATATATAAATATAATGCAAATATACGAATCATTATGTTGTACACCTGAAACTAATATAATCTTATGTGTCAAGTATATCTCAATTTTTAAAAATAACTCAAAGTGGATCAGACCTATGTGTAAGATGCAAAATATAAAACTCCTTGAAGGTAACAGGAGAAAACCTACATGACTTTGGGTATGGCAATGGCTTTTTAGCTACAACACTGAAGATGCGGTGCATGAAAGAAATAATTGATAAAGAATGAATTTTATTAGAATTAAAAACTTCTACACCACGAAAGACAATGTCAAGAGCATGAGAAGATGAGCTACACTGAGAAAAATTATTTACAAAATACTCATCTGTTAAAGGAACATTATCCAATATACAAAGAACTCTTGAAATTCAGTATGAAAACCAACAACTCAATTTAAAAAATGGGCCAAAGATCTTGGCAGACATATCATACAGATGACAAATAATCATATGAAAACACACTCCATATCTTATGTCACCAGAGAAATACAAATAAAAACAACAATGAGATACCACCACATACCTATTAGAATGGCCAAAATCCAGAACACTGACAACACCAAATGCTGACAAGAATGTAGAACAATGAACTATGGTTCCTGGTGCGAATGCAAAATGGGACAGCCACTTTCAAAGACAGTTTGGTAATTTGTTACAAAACTAAACATACTCTTACCATAGGATCCAGTGGTTACGTTTCTTGGTATTTACCCAAATGAGTTAAAAACTTAACTCTGTACAAAACCTGCCCACAGATGCTTATAGCAGCTTTATTCATAATTGCCAGAACCTGGAAGCAACTAAGATGTCCTTCAGTAGTTGAATGGATGAATAAACTGTAGTACATGCAGATAATGGATTGATGTTCGTTGCTGAAAGGAAATGAGCTGTCAAACCAGAAAAAAACGTGGAGGAATCTTAAATGCATATTTAAGTGAAAAAAAGTCAACCTGAAAAGGCTACATACCATATGATTCCAACTATGTGACATTATGGGAAGGGCAAAACTGTGGAGTCAGTAAGGAGATCAGTGGTTGCCTGGGGGTGGGGCTGGGGGAAGATAGGGGGAGGTGGAGCACAGAGGATTTTTTAAGGCAGTAGAAATATTCTGTATGATACTCTAATAATGGATACATTTGTCAAAACCCATAGAACGTACACCACCAAGAGTGAACGCTAATATAAACTACGGACTTTGGGTAATAATGATGTGACAGTATAGGTTCATCAGTTGCAATAAATGTGCCCCTCCAGTGGGAGTTGTTGATAATGAGGGAGGCTCTGCATGTGTGAAGCAAGAGGTATATGGGAAAATCTGTACTTCCTCTTAATTTTGCTGTGAACCTACAACTCTGCCCTCAAAATAAAGTCTTTTATTAAAAAAAAATCAGTTGATAACATTAGCATGTGTCTAAGTTAAAAGAAAAAGGAAGAAGAAACTCAATACTTTTGTGTTACTAGGGCAGAAAGCCAACAACTCCTGATTTGCCATTCTTGTGTTCCTATTGAAATGCTTGAGAAATAACAATTATCTGTACAAACCTGCAGAAACAGCAGGAGCCTGGAAAACTACTCAGCTACCTTCCAGAAACCAAGAGGAAATTTCATTAACCAAAACTCAGTGAAATCCTGAAGCCCGAGAGGGATGCCATGCAGGATGGGCAGCATGGGGCTTGGGAAGGAGACAAAATCTCTGTTAATTGGGTTCCCATTTTGGTTCTGCCACATAAGTCATGGGCTGATAGACCTACTATATTCATTGTGAGACTACAGCCCTTGGGTTTCTTACATCTCCACTTTGCAGGGGAATTTTCACTTAGACCCATAGAATTTTCCATTGGATTTCTTCCCTCAGTGTCTACCAAGTTTCCTGAGGTGACCTCAGACCCCCACCTCAAGCTTCCTGAGGAATGCTGGAAGTCCAGTCCAGGAAGGGCCAACCGTCCTCTCTTAAAACACATAGTGACCACAATACCTGTTGTATTGACTTCTGACAAGGAATGGTTTTATACATGCCAGTAAATGTTCCATATAATGAGTTCTGTAGACATACCAATCCATATTTGTAATGAGGTAGAAAATAGTCTAAAGATTGGAAATATCTTTAACCTCACCAAAATACATTTAAATTAAAAGTGTTCCTAATTTTATAGATTTCCAGGCCATGGGGTTGAAGAAAGGGATGTTTTTCAACCCAGATCCTTACCTGAAGATTTCCATTCAGCCTGGAAAACACAGCATCTTCCCTGCCCTCCCACACCACGGACAGGAGAGGAGATCCAAGATCATAGGCAATACCGTGAACCCCATCTGGCAGGCCGAGGTGAGTGCTGTGGGCCCAAACTGCTGCTAAGTTCATGGCTCTCTGGTCTTAGAAGGGAGATGTGTTCTCTGTGGGTTGTAACTCAGGGATCTTGATGGAACCCCTCAAGGCAATACCAGGAAACTGTTTGTTGCAGCTACACTCAGTAGCCCTGTTATAGCTTCTTCATCTGATTCAGAACCTGCATCCGAAAGCAAGGCAGCCTCTCTCTACCTCTGTGTGGGAGAAGGAAGAGAAGCATTCTTACACTCTTCCTACGTGTGCGGTCCTTAGGCAAGAGTGCCAAATTTTAAATGTGTCCCTCTAGACCAGTTCTGGAGATTCTAAAACTGTCAGTTTCCTGGGACAGGTAAATCATTAAAAGCCCTAGAATACCCCTGGGAGTTACAAATTGTTTGATTTAAATAAACATGAATCCTAATTGTGTACCCCATCTTCCTGGTCTGAATGGTGCTAAAGTATTGAACAGTTTGTTTTGTCTCATGAAGGCCCATCTCCACTTCCAAATGTGTGTCCTCCACCAGCCAGGAGTGAGGACGTTCCTCAGCAAAGCCACATGCATGTCAGGCTTGGCCTCACAGTGACTAAGTCCTCTCCTAGAGAACTAGCAGAAAGTTGTCACAACCCATTGGGCAGCTAACTCACATGCTTAAGCTTGAGGGTGTGACCTGCTAACTGTGTGGGCTGGGAAGCAGGGAGGCTTAGGGCATGGGAGGGGCTACAGAATAATGTTGGAGTTAAAAGCACAGATTTGCAGCCACACAAACCTTGGTTGAAATCCCAGCATGGCTTGTTACTAGTTGTGTAGATGTAAGAAATCAGACATCCTCAATCTGAACCTTAGGTTACCTTCATCAGGCTGTTACTGATGAGAACGTGCTACTCCTACCCAAGGCACTTGCTTTGGACAGGTTTCCTTCCTTTATTCTTCAGAGTAGGTCATCTCTGACGTAGGCTTTTCAAGCATTCTTGAACAAGAAAGTGTAATTAGATATTTGGGGGCAAATCTTGTTCATTGTCTCTTAAATTACACCACCCACTTCCTAGGCTTAATTAACCCAGACCCAGGCCTTACAGAGGAGCAATGTTAACAGCTTTGAAGTTAGAGCAACGTAAAGGAAATGGAATTGCACTTAAACTTCCTACTACTTTGGTTATCAGTAGATTCTAAAGCACTGAAGATACCAGTAGCATGGAATAATGAATCTTAAATTATTTGTTCCTTCAGTCCTGGCTATTCTCACCAATTATTTCTGGTCTCCTCACTGCATTCCTGGGGATAATACATGATGCTACAGGAATTTATAGTACATAAAAAAAAAAAGTCTTCTCTCTTCTGAAGAACTTCAGAGCAACTTGTTCTAAAACATTTAGTCGTAAAGGTATTATAAGTCCTCAAAGAACATTTCAGAAACCCAGCACCATCAGAATGTTTTTTGCCTAAAAATGTCAGCTAGAATCCACTTTAAGTTCTGAAATTATTCCTGAGTCTTTAGTTAAAATTTACTTCACTCTGGAAAGATCCTAGCAAATTCTCACTCTGCTTTTGACCTCCTGCATTCTATCCAGCATCCTGTAGTTAAAGTTGGTATTCTTTTTTTTTTTTCTTAACTGGGTGATGGGCATTAAGGAGGGCATGTGATGTAAAGAGCACTGGGTGTTATATGCAACTGATGAATTACTGAGCTGTACATCTGAAACTAATGATACATTGTTTGTTAACAAATTGAATTTAAATAAGTAAAAAAAATTAAGTTGGTTTTCTAAAATAAGTTTTGCCATGTCTCCCTGATGAGGCTCAGACTGAGCATAAATGATTTCTCAAGTTAAACATCAAATAACTTGGCTGAAGATCTGCACTTTCAACCCCTAAATGCTCTCCTATGCAGAGCATTCAAGGACTTTGCTGTCCCAGCGTGGCTTACCACATGTGTAGTTACGGGTGCACTTGGCTCTAAGCTAGAGGAAGTGGGGCCAGCTGTGATATTTCGCACAACCAAGAAGTCCAGAGGGAAGTGGTTCTGGTAGTGCAGCTACTGAGAACACCAGTGAGGGACTCAAGCTCTCTGGGTCTTCCCACTGCACCCTTAGCAGATGGCTCTCATCCTCCTATCTTAAAGCCCCAAACTCAAGTTCCAGGCAGGAAGAAAGCAAAGAGGCAAAAAGCCTTCTCCTTGTAAGGTTTTGCATTTTTATTCTGTAAGAGAAGCCCTTCCCAGCAAAAGCCCTATTACCTGTCACAGACCCTCACCTGTTTGGAAAAATCTAGTGCTTCAGTTCCCCAACTCTATAGTAAAGAGGGCAAAAGGAGAGGTGGTTGAACATGGATGTTGAATAAAACAATCTGTAGTGTGAGCAATGTGCTTCAGCTCCACTGCTCGGTACCTTACACCTCAGACATTATGCTAAGACCACTCTCAGTAGCTGCTGTCCCCCACCGCCCCTCATGCTTTCACATGGTTGCATAGATTGTCTTTGCTCGTGTCTGCCTAAAATGTATGTTCCCAATGAATCCAACTAGCAACTCCTGCTCATCCATCAAGACAGCTAAAACACCACCTCCCTTATGGGCCACTCCTTGACCCCCCCACCCCGGGCCTCAGGAGGAAAGTGCTCCTTCCTCTCTGCCCCTTTGTCCAGACCTCTGTCATACTCTTTTATTTGCACATCTGTCTTTCCTGTGAGCCTTTGAGCTCCTCAAGGGAAGGAATCATATCCAGTTCCTGGAACCTACTAATAATAGGCTATATAGGGCTTATATATAGGGCTTACTATGCCAAGCAGTGTAAACGTTTTATATAATTAACTCAATCCTCACAACAACCCTATGAGATATGTACTACTATCCCCATTTAAAGATGGGGAAACCGAGGCACAGAGGAGTTAAGTAATTTTCCCCAGGTCTCATAGCTATTAAATGGCAGAGCCAGAATTTGAAGCAGGTCATCTGCCTTTAGAGCCTGATACTGATCAGTGTTGTGTATAGTTGGTTGTGGATAAATTCTGGAGGGAGTATCCATAGATTCTATCAGATACTCAGAGTGATCAGTATAACCCCTCCCCTTCAGAGGAAAAATAAAGTTTAAATCTATAGCATTGGATGATAAGGCTGAAGGCAGTTATCAAAAAGTTTAGTTTGGTCTTTCAGCTAATCATATGAACTACTACTTCTGGAAGATAAGTTTGAAGATTCAGTGAGAACTTTTTTAATGGGGAAAGCCAGGTGAAGTTCTTCTGGCTGATTATTAATTTAAGAAATGTTACTGAGTATCTATTTTGTAGTAGAAACAGAAACCTCTGGAAGGACACAAAAATGATTGATAGGTAAGACCTCTCAGGCTGGTGGAAGGAGACAAGACAATGAAATAAATGTTCTAATCAAGGTATGGACAGAATGCAGCAGAATACTGAGGGAAGATTTCCCAGGTGGTGTGCTGTGGGACATAGGTCTTGATGGGTGATGAGACATATTTGGGGGAGTGGGTTGGGGGCATTCCAGGTAGAAGGAACAGCATGTGCAAAACTACCAAGGCATCTCACAAACACTTGGGGAACTCTATAGAAATAGCATGTGGTTGAAAAATAAAAAGAAAGAAATGCCATGTTGTTGGAGCTCGTGGTACACACAGACAACTGATGGCTATTGGGCTGGGCTTACTCCAGTTACATACATCCAGTGTGATTCTCTTATTTCTTTTCTTTTCTTTTTTTTTTTTATGTTCAGTTAGCCAACATATAGTATATCACTAGTCTTTGATGTAGTGTTCAACAACTCATTAGTTGCATATAACACCCAATGATCACAACACGTACCCTCCTTAATACCCATCACCGGGCTACCCCGTCCTCCCACCCCCCTCCCCCCAGCAATCCTCAGTTTGTTTCCCAGAGTCCAGCATCTCTCATGGTTTGGTTCTCTTATTTCTTACAAACAAAACCTAATGTTGGGTTCTGGGTCTCACATTGCACCTTCGTGAATGAAATGAAGATTCCCTGCTCCTACAGAATTCATGCACATCTTTAAATTTCTATGCAAGGTGGGTATGTGAGAACCAAACTGTCCTATTTTCTGTATATACCTACTAACATATAAAGGACATTCATGAGAAATAATTGAAGTTACCTGAACTTAAGAGCAAGAATATCCTTTATTGTATAGTTTAAATGCTAAATTTATTTCTGTGATTAATGTTGCGTTAAAATCTTATGCAATTTTTTCAAATTTAGGCAAGTTCAAACTTAAAACATGTTTTTGCTGATTAAAACATGCTAAATCTTAGAAAAATACGGTTACTATCAGAATTTTATTTTTTTAATTTTTTTTACTATCAAATGTATTATTATTATTATGTTATGTTAATCACCATACATTACATCATTAGTTTTTAATGTAGTGTTCCATGATTCATTGTTTGAGCATAACACCCAGTGCTCCATGCAGAACATGCCCTCTTTAATACCCATCACCAGGCTAACCCAACCCCCCAACCCCCCTCCCCTCTAGAACCCTCAGTGTTTTTCAGAGTCCATCGTCTCTCATGGTTCGTCTCCCCCTCCGATTTCCCCCCTTCATTCTTCCCCTTCTGCTATCTTCCTTTTTTTTTTTTCTGGTTTCTCTTCAGATCGCCTAAATCTTTCCCCTCTTACTATCAGAATTTTAAAATGAGGAGGGAAAATTGAGAGAAATGCATACTAAATATAATGTCAACTAAAAATTTTTTTAAAGAAGACTACCATGTTGATTGATCTCTTTTTTTATTATTATTACTGTGATTAGAAACTCTTTTCACCCAGGGAAAACTCTCCTTGATTTTCAGGTCTGTTTACTTTCCTGAATGGATATAATGAGCACTTATAAGATTATAGCCACACAAAGAAATTAAATAGAAAATGGCAGCAACTGAAGAGTTTTGCGTTATTTATTCAGAGTGCCTATGTGGAGAGTATATTTAAACCTCTTAAATCTAACAGGGAACTCCTATATGCAACTTCTCAGAAAT